TTGGGTTCTTTTCTCTTTCTTATAATAGCATCTATTGGGAGGGAAGATAGAGGTCCCAAATTACCCTTTTGCATTGTGGTAATATAGTGTCTCACCTGAATATATTTAAAAAAATGTTTAACAGGAAGAGAAAACTTTAATCTCAATTGTTCAAATGTCATTAGTATGCCCTGCTCATATAAATCTCCAAACATCTGTATTCCCTTTTTGTACCAGTATTGTGTTATTCCATCTCTTAATGCTTCAGGAAGAGATGGGTTACAGTGAAACGGAGTATTATTATACATTGAAAGTAGCCAATTATTTTTTTTCTTGATTACAAACCCCAATTTGCAAGTGTGCCTAATGAATGGGTTACTAACTGCCTTCATAACACAATTCAAGGGGATGAATAAGGCCTTATCTAAAGGTATTTCCCTTGCATGATATTTTTCTATTTGTAACCATGCGGGTAACAATGTACCCTCCATCTGCCAAAACCACACTGCTCTCATCTGTGCAGCCTAGAAATAAAACAAAAAATTGGGAAGTTGTAGTCCACCTTTTTTGGATGTCATCTGTAATGTCCTAAGTTTAATCCTTGGAGTTTTTTTATTCCAAATAAAATTTCTAATTGAGCTGTTGAGATTCCTAAAAAACTTTTGTGGGATAGAAATAGGGAGGGTCTGAAACAAATATAAAAATTTAGGAAGAATGTTCATTTTTATGCAGTTTATCCTGCCAATTAGTGATAATGGTAGTGGATTCCATCTTTCCAGATCTCTAATTACCTTTTTAAGTAATGGGGAATAATTCAAAGAGTATGCTTCTTCCAATTTCGAAGGAATATTTAGTCCTAAATAAACTATTTTTTCAGTATTCCATAAAAAAGGAATGTTATCTAAGGGTATTTTCTCCCCAGCCGAATTCAATGGCATCATAACGCTTTTATTAAAATTAATTTTATAGCCAGATATGTCCCTAAAGTTTTCTAAGAGTTGAGACAAATTAGATAGAGATAAATCAGGATTAGTTAGATATAGCATCACATCGTCCGCGTATAATGATATCTTGTGTATACAACCTCCTATTTCTAATCCAAAGATTGATTTATGTGTCCGTATTGCAATAGCCAGCGGTTCTACCGCTAGAGCAAAGAGTAGCGGGGAGAGGGGACATCCCTGTCTGGTTCCTCTTGATAAATAAAAATGTTCAGATACATCAGAATTATCTTAATCATCTCAATAAAGTTTGGACCGAAATTCATTTTTTGTAAAACCGCAATCAGATAAGACCATTCCACTCGGTCGAAGGCTTTTTCTGCATCTAAAGAAAGAGCAATCACCTGAAAATCAATTTGTTTTGCTGAATAAATAATATTCATTAGCCTCCGTATGTTATCGAAAGAGGATCTATTTCTGATAAATCCAGTTTGGTCCATGTGAACTAAACTAGGCAGTACCCGCTCTAAACGTAATGCAATCATTTTGGTAAGAATTTTATAATCAGAATTAAGCAGTGAGATTGGCCGATAGGAAGCACATAGATTAGGATCTTTGCCAGGTTTTAAAAGAACTGTGATTAAAGCCTGGTTTAAAGTCTCTGGTAATTCTTTTTTATGAATTGCCTCTGTATACATTGAAAACAACGGGTCTGCTAATTTAGAAAAAAAAGTTTTATAAAAATCCATCGAAAACCCGTCTAACCCAGGTGTTTTACCCCCGGCTAGAGCAGTGACTGCAAATTGCATCTCTTTTTTCGAAATTTCTTTTTCAAGTTCTTCTCGATCATTATCACTTAAGACTGGTATATCCCATTTACTTAAAAACATTTTAATCGTCGCCTCCTCTATTCCCTGATATTTATAAAGTGACTTATAAAAATCTAAGAATTCTTGGTTAATTAATTTGGGGTGTTTAATAATTTTATTTTCGGATGAATATATTTTAGGTATAGATTTACTAATTTCTTCTTTTCTTATTTGCCATGCTAGCATTTTCCCGATCTTATCTCCATGTTCGTAATACTTCTGCCGTGATCTGAGAAGTGCATTTTCTGCTTCTTTGGATGATAGAATATCATATTCGATTTTTTTTGACTGCAATTGTTGAAGCAGCTGAGCATCTTTATTTCTAAAATGTTCCCTTTCCATTACTGAGATTTCTTTTTCAAGTGATTGTAACTGTTTTTGATATTGTTTTTTTCTACCGGAAGAAAAAGCTATGATTTGACCCCGTAAGAATGCCTTCATGGCCTCCCAGATTACACCCGAAGAAGCAGAACTTTTATTTGTACTAATAAAATGTTTTATATTACTATTTATGAAGCTTAATGCGTCAGAGCTATTTAGTAAATGGCCACTAAATCTCCAAAGCTTATAATTAGGCATTTCCAGAGAGCATTGCGCTGAAATAAGTAACGGGGCATGATCTGACAATATTCTTGGTAAATACTCACACAATTCAATCAAATAATCCTTCGCTTTTGGAACAAAAAAGTAGTCAATTCTGGAGTAATTATTATGCCTATGCGAGTAGAAGGAATATTCTTTTTTTGTTTTATTCTTAAATCTCCATACATCTATTAAATTAAAACTTGAAAGTTCGTATTTTAGAGCTTTAGCAACTTGACTTAAGGGTAACAGTTTAGTAGATGATCTATCTAACACTGGGTCCAAAACTACATTAAAGTCTCCTCCAATTATCAGCTCAGCAGTTGGGCAAGCAAATTTAAAGAATATATTGTGAATAAAATCGGCACCTTCCATTTCAGGACGATATATATTTACTAAGGTTATTCTTTGCATCCCAATCGTTCCTCTTAAAATAATATACCTGCCTGCTTTGTCTTTATCAACAGATTCCATTTTAAAGGGAACGTTTTTATCAATAAGTATAACCACCCCTCTTGATTGCGATGTGAAGGAAGAAAAAAAAGCTTGTCCAGACCACTGCTTTTTAAGATTTAGATGTTCGGGATCAGTCAAGTGTGTTTCTTGTAGAAGGGCAATTCCAATATTATGCTTTCTGAGGTATAATATTACTTTTTTTCTTTTAAGTCTTTGATTTAAACCGTTAACATTCCAAGTCACATATTTATATTTCAGTGTATCTGACATTAACTATAAATTAATGTTTTATTTCCTAAGTGCCTTGAGAACATATGGTTAAACAGCCCAACACCTAAATAAATCGAATATGTGTTCTGTCCAATCCCCCCTACCACCACTTCCCCAAACGAAGTGTGAAACTTTAAACCCCCATGACTGAGTGTGCACTGCATCATACAGTCGACCTTGACTTCTTGTCCAAACTTAAAGCTCCCTAAAAAGTTATGTATATCCCTACAAATACTTATATTATGTACTTTAAAGCAACGTATTAATCACTACGAACAAGTGATAAATCCGAAATATGCAAGTTAGTAAACATTTGAACAAAAATATGAACATATATTTCTCTTGCCAGCTTTTCAATATAAAGATCACTCTTGACAGAGTTAACGTTAAGTTCTTACATGTTCATCCGAGAGGAAAGTTATCCACCGTATATTTTTAGCATAGTTTGGTGTGATTGTTCAGGTAACGTTAGAGTTGGATGATCCGGAATTCGTCGATATAGTTTTAGTGTCTTATCCGACAAGCAGATGTGGATGATGTTGTCGAAGATAAGTTTCTGCCGATGCCTTGGAGTTGAAAGATCTTTGTCCCTCAGGCAGCTGAATCCTCAGCGTCGAAGGATAAAGTACGGCGTAAGACACATCGTTATTGCGTAGCTGTCTTTTGAGTGCGCTGAATTCTTGTCGCTTTCTAAACAGGGTGGATGACATATCCCGAAAAATCATAATGCTAGAGTTGCCATAGGTGAGCTTGCCCTTTTCTCTGGCCGCATTGATGATCTTAAGTGTGTCTCCGTACCGAAGGAATCGAACCAGAATGGCCCGCGGTTTGCCATGCATATTAAATTTTTCAATACATAATTCCATAATTGTTTCTGTTATCATGTTGAAGCTGCACTACGGAAATAAACCTGATGCGTGTTTGACTTTACACTTTATTTTAAAATTATTCTAGATCACTGTAAAGACAGAAATTAGTGGGACTTACAGTCTCTTCATCACCATCATCATCGTCGTCATCATCATTGTCTTCGTCATCATCTTCCGTAGCCTCTTCTGGCTCTAAGGGCACAGGTGAAATTGGTTCTTCAGGCTGCGCAGGTGGGTCAGGGACCAGTGCAGGGCATGTGGAGACTGGCAAAGAAGCGACACTGCTGGTGACTGCAGTGGAGGAACCCGATCTCAATGTGGAGGAGGATGGTGACAGAGCAGCCTCCGGATCAACAACAGTGTGATCCTCACTGATGTCACAGAAGCCCTCATCTTCTTCTCGCTCATCCACATTGAGATCCTCAATGAGCTCAGCAGTCTGCTCACAGTCTGGGTTCATGTTCTGCAGTGCCTGACCAGTCCGCTGGAACAGATACTGCACTCCAATGAGCTCACCTGAAAAAAATAAATGAAACATAAATAAACAAATTTTAAGAGCCATGTTTGATTGGGTGTTGAAGTAGCAAGTATTTTTAAAAGCTCAACGTCAAGGAAGAAACAAACAAAAACATACATTTTTATCAGAGATCCAAAACATAATAAATATTCTGGACAAAACATCTAATGAAATGCAATGGAAATACAACGAAGACAGAGAAATGTACAAATAAATTTCCCTCAAAGCTTGTAGCAATATGGTTGATAATGACATGTAATAATAATGTAATGATAACTTTGTATCTTGCTTTACTTCAGTAAATAGTCATGAAACAATACATTTGTTCTTACAAATATTTAAAGACAAGCAAAGATTTCACAGCACAAAGCTCATGAACATTGACCTACTGTATCAAACTGGATACAGTAGATGGAGAGAACACAGAAATTGCAGGTTTATTAACAATAGCAAAATCTCTTACCAGTGTAACGTGCAGGCGGACAAAAGTTGGGCACCACTTTTCTCCCAAAACTTTTCAAAGCTTTTCAAAGTTGCAGTTTACACAGTGAACAAGTTCTCCTGTGTAGCTGCGTAAAGCTGATGGTTCAGATGCCAAGGAAGCAGCCTCCCGGTCCTGGTTCCACCTGTTTAGTCCCTCCAGCAAATAAATCTGAAAGTTCAGACTATTTGCGCTGTACCCTGTAAATATTAAAAACTATGTTTAGGACTTAATTAAAAAACAAACACACAAAGACATTTAATGCGTTTTTACACAATGTTTGTGCAGAATCATACCTGGGATGAAACGATTGAGGTGTAAATGAAAGGACTCGAGAGACGTGGAGCCCCTGGCACATCTGTAGGTCCGTAGCAGAACACCTCCCTTGGTTATGCTCCCCGTTTCAGTATAGAGCACGACACCAGGGGGGTCCTGAATGCATTTTATATGCTTTTTTTGGACACTCCAGATGTGCCCTATCCTTTCCTTGTCTAAAAGAGGAACGCCCAGCGAGCCATTGCCCTTGTTGCTCATGAGCTCAGTAAGAAGCTGTTCAAGTAGAAGGATGGTAGTCTCCTCCCTACGGGTCCTCCTCCGGCAATGGAGAGCCAGCTCCTCCCTGGTGAGATGCTTGTTGACATCAGCATCTGTCAACGCAGGCCAACCTTGGGACATCAACAGTGCTCGCTTTGCTTGGCGTAGCAAAGAAACATCAGCCGCATCCCATTCAAAAATGCACGCAGAGATCCGTGACATGAAGATGGGATACAGTTGATGAGCATCAGTTGTACATCCCACAGCAATCCTGCGCATAAAGTGCCAGATGTCCAATTTCACAGTCAACTCCGGCCATCCTCTATACCTGGCTTTGAGTTTGGTCTCACCCACATCAGTGCAGCACCCACAGTCCACATACAAAACAGCAGGTGGATCCACACCAGCCTCCTGGTATCTTCTGACCAGCCCATCCACCATCCTGTCCAGTCCTGCTCCTTCCTGGGCAGTGAGCACACTTATCAGCACCTGACCAAACTCATTGCCAACAGAGGTGAGCCAGAGTCCTGTTCCTTTTGCTGTCCCGGCCAGCTTTTTTGTGATCTAGATTAGACAAGAGAAGAACCATGGTGTATCGTCAGATCAAGCAGACTACACAAAGGGTTTTTACCAATGCTGGAATATAATAAAGAAATTATAAATTGATGAATATCCACTAACCTTTTTAGTTGAATCCATCTTCAAGATGGACCCATGGGTCGATGTTATCCTGGCATGGATTTCATTCAACCTTGTCAAGATGTCCTGGCTGTAGACAGTGAGGAGCCACTTGCAGCTTGGCACAACTGTAGGTGCTGGGGGCTCCTGGAAGGTGATCGGCAACACCCCAGGTCCACTGAGGAAATCCACACACTGAGTGGTGTAGCGGGCCAGACGCTGGAGCCACTCTTCACTGTGGTTTTCCGTCAGATGTTTGATGACCCTTGTGGGGCTGTTGCCTAGTCCACGCTCACGCAGTAGGCGAATGACTCTTATATCACAGGCGTACCTTAGGAAGAGAAGAATATTAATATAAACATATATATATATATATATATATATATATATATATATATATATATATATTTGTAAAGTATTTTCATATATCTGTGATGATAGGTTAACAACTGCACGAGGAATAAAGGTGTTCAATTACTCACTTCTGTGTGAGAATGACCCGAAACTCTGAGCGATGGCCAAGATCCAGCTGCTGCAAGACAGTCTGACTCCAGGACACATGCGAGGCTTTGCACTTGGTACAGATGAGGGTTTCTGTAACCATGTTGTACATCCTGTCGATGTCCAGAACCTGCCGTGCCCTTTTGTGCAGACCTCCACCTGTCAGCTGATGCTTTCCACATGCAGGATTAGGGCAAAGGACTTTGACCCTCCACAGCTTGTATGGCATCCACAGCAAAAGTGAATGACAGAAAAATCTGTCTGGAGCTGGAGCCTGATTGTATGTAAGTGCAGGCTGTGGAGGGTAATACCAGAGCTGGAGGTTGTCTCGAAGCTCTGGCTTTCCTTTGGACCCCATTTTAAAAAGCCTGCTGGCAATCCACTTGTGGTCCTCTGGTGGCAAGGTTTCAGCCCAAAGGCGCGGAAGTGGAACAGCTGATGGAGCTTGCAACAATGACCCAGAAGGTGCAGTCTGTGAAGGAAAATAGATCAAACCTTTAGTCTGGTAATGTAAATGCACCTTACATATTTGAGTGAGTACCCTCACATGATATCATGATTATAATCTAAATACCTTTGATTTTAAGTGATTGTTTTTAAATACCTTATTATGTTTTTCAATTCCAAAAATCATTAATAGAATTTCACCAATAAACATTTTCTTTAAAGAAGCAAAAGTATTTTGCAATACAGTTATTTCTCTTTTTTCCTTTCTACTTCTTTTCCATCCATTTTCTTTTCTTTTACTACTGTGAACATAAAATATCAACAACAGAAGGCGTAATTTTTGTGATTCTTTGCTTTATTTTTTCCTCTCTTTATTTTGTTAACATTTATACATATATCAAGCTTAGTTAATTAACATTAAGTCAATTTAATTGGCTGGTCTTAAAACCACTTTGTGTGAATTCAGCTGGGGCAGCAAATATGCAAACCAAATTACCTTTTTTTGGACAGAAAATATGAAATTACTTACTGAGACAATGCTGGACGGCTCTGTGGAACTGGTCACTGCCGTAGTGGATGTGAGGACGGGGGCAGAAACTTGAAGGTCCTGTGTCTGTACAAACAAGCAGTATAACAAAGTGCATTTTGTAAATATATATCTATAAGTAACATTAACTAATCAGAATTTTTTGCAACCATTACTTTATTTGAACATTAATGTATAAAATACATTGGAAATGAATGATTGCTGCTAAACTGTAAAATTTTGTCACAGCGCTTCTATGCAGAACAAAAAGTTTAAAGAATGGTGCTTATTTTTAATATATATGTTTTTATGCACTAAAAGAATACTACAGAGATGTTTTATTGAGATTTAATGTGACTGTACTTAATAAAAATATGAATTTACATTAAAAAAATGCTTATACCAAATTCTTTCAGAAAGCTATGTGGATTATGACAATACTTACAGCCGTGCTTGGTGTAGAAGCACTACACACTGCTGAACTGGGCTGGACATCAGCCTGTGATGGTCTTCTAGCCACACTAAGATTTGGCTTTGCTGCAGCAATGTGGGATCTGGAAAATCTTGGTTTGGTGAACTCAAAAAGGGCAAGACAAAAAGCATTTCATTAAAAACACTGTTCACAATGGCAAAATGTACACTAATGTTCAAAGGTTTGCGATCTGCTGAATGTATTTTTTAATGTTTTAATTATGTTTATCAAGGCTACATTTATTTGATCAAATATTTAGTAAAAACTACAATAATGTGAAATAATAATATAGGCAAATTAAATAAATAAAGAATAATTTATTCAAACAATTCAAATCAAATAAAATCTACTTAATTTATGAGCAAATCAAACAATAGAATTCTTGCAATATATGATTAATATTAAGCTTTTATATTTTAACAATAATCATTTTTTGAACATTAGTGTATATCACATTACATTTTAAGCAATTAGAAACTATCTTTCTATATGTCTGTTGTACAATCAGTTTGATTTCTCTACAGTGTTTCGAGTTTTTTACTACCACCCTCTGCTACTTTTACAGGTAGAAATAAGATATAAGTTAGAATAGATTTAATTAGATAACTGGTTCATTGAAAATAAATGTGACACATTAGGCTTTGATTAAAATTATAGTTTTCTGGATCAAGGAGCAATATGCAAACAAATATTTTTTTTTTACTACCAAAGGAATAAAGTATTGCATTATGTTATATACATTATTATTGTACTATTATTACATTATGCTTTTCAACAAAAACATACATTGTATATTACAACATCACACTATGTGTTATATACAGTTGAAGTCTGATTTATTAGCCCGCTTTTTTATTTTTTTCCACCAATTTCTGTTTAATGGAGAGAAGATTTGTTCAGCACATTTTTTTAAACATCAAAGTTTTAATAACTCATTCCTAAGAACTGTTTTATTTTATCTTTGCCCTGATGACAGTAAATAATATTTGACTAGATATTCTTCAAGACACTTTTATACCACTTAAAGTGACATTTGAAGGTTTAACTAGGTAAATTAGGTTAAATAGGCAGGTTAGGGTAATTAGGCAAGTTATTGTATAACGATGGTTTGTTTTGTAGACTATGCCAAAAAAAAAAAAAAAAAAGCTTAAAGAGGCTCATAATATTGACCTTGAAAAATGTATTCGAAATAAAACAAATAAGACTTTCTCCCAGAAGAAAAAATATTATCATACCTGTGGTAGCAAAAAAATATATATATATATTTTTAAATAAGTACTTTTTCAAGATAATACCTCAGACTCGTTGTTTAGAAAAAGTACAAATTTTAGCTTACACTTAAAATCAAAACAAAGTATTTACTATTAGTATTTATTATGTATCATTATCTGAAGACAAGAGGTTAAAATGTAGCTTTAAAAACTGTGACCCTGACCATGACCTGACCATGTAATTTAATCTAATCACAGAAACTCAAACCGACCAATCAGCAAGTGTCTGCTACCCCCCACTGTGCAAGAGGTGTGAAAAGAAGCAGGTCTCTAGCAACACCTAAACTTTTTTATTGCTTTTTGTTCTTTTCTCTCCTATGTTTGAACTTTGAACTGAACTTTGAACACCTTGAACACTTGAAACACTGAAATTGTCATTTCTTTTGATTTTTAAAAAAATGTACCATTGACAATTGCGGTGAAATCTTTGATGCCACTGATGGAGTAGACGGGGGCTGGGGCTGGGCCTCAAGTTGTCTCGTCTCCATCACCTCCTGAGCAGGTACAGTAGGGGCAGGTTGTTGCACCGTTTGTGCTGGAGCAGCAGAAGCAGTACTCTGCTGAAAATAATCACAAAAATACATATAATCATGAAAAAGGAAAGGCATTCTAGTAAATAAAAATAAACACATATTGACTCAAAAATTTACCTTTTGAGTGTGAAAACCACATGTGCATTTCAGCACACCTCCAAGCAAAGTCCTCTGCCCACGAGATTGCAATGGGCATTTCTCAATCTGAAAAAATCATGAAAGATATATTAAACAATTTTATACAATACAAAAAACTTTTATAACTAAATAAGAATTTTTACTCAATGACTCCCTTAATAAAGCACACAATAGCTCTGTAAATTAATTTACCACTGTTTCTAGAATGTGTTTAATATTTGTCTAATATGTAATCGTACAGTTTGTACCTCCAAAAACGAAAAGAAGAATAAAAGGAACTGGACAGGAACATTTCAGGCCTTAAAACCACATGCTGTATAATGTACTCATAATCCCTTCCCCCACCTTTTCAGATCTCTCTCATAAACGGTCAAACTTACTAAATTATTTGACGTAAATCTCAAAATAAATGCAATTTAAAACACTTTAATATTTGAAAACAAGTATGACATGTTTTACACAGATACTGTACTGAATGTACTAAAGCCTAACAAGTTAACGTTACTCTGTTAAGCAAATTTCAACAAACGTTATATCATGTAAACGAAATACACACCCTTTGATAAATCTCAGGCCACTTTTTTTGTCGAGGAGCTGGCCTGTTTCCCTCATTTGATGGCCAAACTCCTGTGCTGGCAAACTTTTTCAAACGTGAAATCCAGTCAGCGTCTGACATGGCTTTATGAGATTTTCCAGACATTTTTCTCCTATAAATTAAACGGTTTTGAATTAAAGTATCCAAATTTGAAATACAACACACTAAAACATTAATTCGTGCAATTGTGTAGTTTTTCCTACCTTTTTTAAGAAATCACTATCGGAAAAAATCCTTTACTGTAAGCAAAACGATGCTGTGCTCTGTCCAATGATGCTGTTCGTTGAATATCACTGATGGTCAGTGAACTTTTTTGACCTCTGACCCGCCTCCAGAGGACCGCGTCATTCCTTCGTGTACCTTCGGCTCAGTTCGGAAAATTGATTGACTTCTGACTAACCTGTTTGACTGCACACCTAGCGGTGATTCTTGGAACGGTTCCTCCCCCCCCGGCTTCAACATTGTCTCGACTCTGATTGGTCAAATGTTGAAAATGTTGAGAAATCCGGTCCGCGATTGGCTGCAAATGTTGAAGCGCTGCAACGTGATTGGCTACAATGTTGGAGCGAATCGCTCCGATTGGCTCTCATCTTCAACATTTGTGAAATATTGTCGGACTATCCTTCGGCAGCTGGCGTTCAGGTCGCAGTCTCCCCTGAAGGCGTGGGTTCGAATCCCACTTCTGACAAACCGAACCTGCGGCAGTGCGTTCAGGCTCAAGTCTTTTACTCTCTGCCCCCATGTCCGAATGATACAGTAACACTGACAAGGCGCCGCATCACGCGAGCTTTAATGCAAGTGCACCGAAAGGGGATCAAAAGAATTGTTCTGGGATGGGGTTGATTTTTAAGGTTTGCAGAGGCATTTTTTCGTCAAATCCTCGTACAACGTCAAATCATGACATTTGACAGATCCACGCCCTAGTATCGTGGATCATCCAGGGAGCAGAGAGCTGATTGAGAATGTGCGTAAAAGCAAATCTGAATGTTTCCGCCCAGTTTCTAACAGGAGACCCTCCGCTTGTAAAGCCATCGTGATAACCACAGGAGCCTCCGGTTAGGGTGAGAGCACTGTCTTGTGGTGCCATCGCAGAGAGACTGAAAGTCACTTTCCACAATGTTTTCATTCAATGTTCTACGCTGGTGGAATCACCTTACCATTCCCACTCGGATTAGGGATACACTGGTATCCTTCAAACGACAGCTAACACCCATCTCTTCAGAGCACACCCGAACCCAAGGGGAATATCCCTCTCCCTAAAGAAAACGAAACTCCTACTCCAGCACTAAATTCTCTGAGCACAAACAAATTACTTGGAATAAACAGCCCTTTTTCGTATGCATTGCCTCGTCTTGTTGAATACCTCCACTATTGTATGTCGCTTTGGACAAAAGTGTCCGCTAATTGTATGCTTCCGCCCAGTTTCGAACAGGAGACCTTTAGCGTGTAATGCAAACATGATAAACACTACACTACGAAAACCAATAGGCTAGTGCTGCTTCAAGTATTTATAGTCTTTTTTTTTATAGGGCTGTCTTGTACGGTCTGCACCGTGGAGGGCCAGCAAACGCACTGGCCACCTGCTCATGCACAACACAAAGCTAAAAGAAATCAGATTCTACGCAAGTTTGCGACACCGCGAGGGGAGGTAAACACTGAGATGAATTCAAACTTCTAGCCTCACATCGCTCTGCAGAAAGAATGTTTTCAGTGAACGTCAGTACTCAACAGAAGCATGATTTGACAATTGTCATAAAAGCCAGAGGTTGTTTCCGCCCAGTTTCGAACTGGGGACCTTTCGCGTGTGAGGCGAACGTGATAACCACTACACTACGGAAACCTTCAGGCAGAACAAGCAGGTAACCCATTTTGATTCGGTGCCTGTTGACGATCATTGCTGGGCGCGCAGTGGATGCTGTTATTTTCTCGCCAAAAGAAGAACACTGTTTCTGCTCGGTTTCGAACCGAGGACCTTTCGCGTGTAAGGCGAACGTGATGACCACTACACTACAGAAACCCCACAAGTGCTTTCACCAGCGAAGTTAGGCCTGCAAGGATAAAACAAGGTGTACGCGGTTGTCAATCAAGAGGACAAAGCCAACTCAGCGTGACAAGCTCCCTGCAGGTATTAGGGCCAATTTACAATCCGGGGCCAACACAGCTGTACAGGTCCTTGTGAAATGTCCCCTTTCGTCACATTTGAAGCACCTGAATTCTGGGCATTCCTTCATCACATTTTCTGAGCTCATCCATAGTCGACAGGTTTTTACCTGATTGGTGTGCATGACTCTAAAGTGCTGTGGCCCTTCCGCCGTCTCGATTTTGGTGCTGTATGGTAAGGAGACCATCTCTTCTGGAAATCTGTTTTTTACAAACCTTGTTCCATCTTCTATGTTTGTGCCTGGATACAATCTTCTTTTAATTTTAGATATGGGGAAAACTCCCCATCCCTCTAGCTTGCTTAAAATTTCTTCATCAGCTAGGTAAACAGAGAGATGCTTGAACGAAACAACATAGTCTGTGTTTTGTAACGTCCGTACTTCAGATTTCACTCCTTTAATTGTCAATCCATTGTCTATTAAAATTTCGGT